TTTTTAAATTTTATTTATTATTTTTATTTTATGTGTATGTGTGTATTGCCTGCATGTAGGTAAGTGCATCCATGTCGTGCAATGCCCGCGGAGGACAGAAGAGGCCATCTGATCCCCTGGAACTGGTGTTTTGGACAGTTTTTAGCTGCCACGTGGGTGCTGGGATTCAAACCCGGGTCTTTTGTAAGAACAACCAGTGTTCTTAACTGCTGAGTCATCTCTCCAGCCCCCATGCCTCTATTTTTATAGACAAAGTTCTACAAGTTCAAAACTGCCTGTAGTTACATATTTTCTATGACTTTTTTGCACTGCAGTAGTAAGGCTGACTAGTTGTGACGGACCATAATTTGTCTCTTTTTCAAAAAATCTACAACCTTAGGTCTTGAACCAGATGTGGCAAAGAGGCAGCAGCTGTGGTAAAGTAAGCACCTCCTGTGATTCGGCTGTCCCCTAACAATGTTTCCATAGGACTGAAGCTTAGTTTTCTGGCTCTTTCATAAACATTGTAAGTTAATACCATGCAATAAATCTTTTTTTGTTAAAGATATGGGAGTGGTTTCCACTACTGCACTGAAGGAAACTCAGGGAAACAAAGAACACACAATTAAGCTATAAAGTTAAGCAAATGACTTACATTATGTGTCATCTCGAAGTACTTCTGGCAGGCTACCTGGTAATGCGTCCCCTTTACTAAGTCCAAAATCTAAAATGAATGAGGAAAGCAAGAAGAAAAATTACAAGTTGTTTCTTCTAAGCCCCCGGAGCTGCTGGCCTTTTCATATCCTTCACTCCAGAAAGGACACTCAGTAAGTCACGGTGTGCTGTGCTCCGCAGCCTAGGCACCGTGACGGCTCTGACATTCCTGGGAGCTCTTTAGTTCAGACTAAAACACAGCTGGCCAGTGACAGGAAGTGAGCTTGCTGACTCACCACCTGTCACTTTTAATGACATCACCTTGACAGCAAGATGAAAACAGATCCTGGTGTTATGGCTTTGACCCTTACTGTCAAAATATATCACAGCATTTTTTTACAAATTGTAGATGTAATCCAGTAATCTAATAGTTCAAGTATGAAGCAATCAAACATACTAATTAGATTTTTATTTTCATATTGCCTGTTTATACAGATAGAGTGTTAACTACTGCTGTATCTGTCAGGAAAGTGCCCATCACTGAAACCCTTTGGATGGGCACAGAAGCAACACTTCAGTGGGATTTCCCATTGAAATGAAGCTGTTTCTAGTACAGCTCAGCAGAATGTGCCAGTGAACAGCCTGCTCTAAACACCTATCAGGAACATTACCCGTGCTTTTGCAAGCACAATTTGCTTTCCAATTCTACTTCATGAAATCTCTTCTGGATGGTGGGAGCACCCATCCTTATCAGCAGAGCTCAATGCCAGGTGCCTCCTGCGACTCCCAAGTAACAATACCTCTACCACTCCCAAATAAATGAAATGTGTATTTGGCCCATTTATCAAGCACAGTAAAATGCTGGAATTAAGAGATCTCCTCAAATGAAGGGAACATAATTCTGTAGAAACATTCATTTTAACTCCTTTTCAAAAGGTTAACCTTCCTCCCACAAAACAAATGAACACAGAGTCTTGAATTCCTGCTACCCTCATTACTGAATGTGGCTTTACATCTTTTGACATAAGAAAATTACAGCTGCAGAAAGGGCATCACACAACACTGGTAAGAATCTGTTCAAAGACTGGTTTTCTCTGATTGTCATACAGATTACATTTCTGAATTTTCTACCACCTTTCATTAACTTTTATATGAAAGTCTGTGCAAATGTCAACCTGTTACTAAAGCCAGGATCATGTTACCCATTTGACCTATTTTTCTTAAATGGAAAATAAATCAACTTAAAGTGAATGACAATAAATTTAAAAAATGGCATCATAAAGTTTTCTAAATAATACCAACACTTTGAGTTTATAACCCTCATAATTTTTCACACAGCCATTATGGCTGTGAAGAGACGAATTTGCAATTAATTACTGGATAGCAGCAACAATAACAATAGATTAACACACATGAATTAGCATTTTGAAGAGGATATCAAAAATAAATTTAAGATTTATGTGATACCATCAATTATTTGAAGATAAAATGAATTCACATAAAGTTGAATGGCCAGGCATGGTGGTGCATGCCTTTAATCCCACCACTTGGGATGCAGAGGCAGGTGGATCTTTGTGAGTTCGAGGCCAGCCTGGTCTACATAGTGAGTTCCAGGACAGCTGGGGATACAAGGAGACTGTCTCAAAAAAGACAAAAAAAAAAAAAAAAAAAGTTGAATGATGTAGTATATGTTCCTTTTATGTAAAATCAAAACAATAAACCTAATATTTTACATATACAAATATCTTGTTCTAGGCATAAGAGACAGAAACAATATATTTAAATATTTTCCTTACAAACTAAATATGTATTATATGCATATAGGTGTTTGGGAAATGAGCTATGAGACATACTTGAAGAACCATTAACACAATTTTTTTTTAATTTTATTTTTTTTAATTCAATATACATTTTACTGAATTTCTGTCCATTCCATACAATGTATCTTAATCATATTAAGACCTTCTCCCCTATCTTTACCCCCTATAGGCCACCCACTGGATTTCATGCATTCTGTCATATATGTTAATTAAGCCTATTAAAAATAGGAACAACTTTTTAAAGGTGTTTTGACCTTTTTTGTATATTTTTTATTGAATTTTCATGTATTTCATACAAAAGATCTCAATCATCTTTATACCCCCTCCTCCATCTGCAACCCCCCATACCCCCACCCCCACCAGATTTCATGCATTCTGTCATTTATATTAAGGCCTATTGAGTCAAGTTAGTGCACCCAGACATCCCTCAGTGCAAGTTCATCCACTGGTACCTATTCAGCCTACCTAGTGTTACTCCCCTAAAGAAGATCAGCTCTCCCTCTCCCTGCAGCAGTAATCAGCTGTCAATAGTTCTTCAGCTAATGTTGGGGCCTGTTGCCCACTTCCCCAATTCTATGCTGGGTTTTTGTATTACTTTATTTTATGTGCTTGAGTGTATTGCCTGAAGATGTATAAGTGTCGTGCAGTGCCCTTGGAGGTCTGAAGAGGGAGCCAGATTCCCCTGGAACTGGAGTTATAGACAGTTATTAGCAGCCATGTGGGTGCTGTGAATCAAACCTGGATCCTCTGCAAGAGCAGTCAGTGTTCTTAACCACTGAGCCATCTCTCCAGCCCCAATTAACACAAATAGTAGGCTGATATTATAGTCTCATCTCTGTTGCCTTGACAAATACTCTAACAGAAAGCAAGATAAGGGAGGAAAGGGTTTACCAGACTACAGATCCAGTCACACCCACAGTCAAGAGCAGAGAGAACACACACATGGATCCCTGCTTGCTTGCTCTCAGCTAGCGTTCTCCCCTCTTATACAGTTCAGGACCCCCTGACTAAGGAACAGTGCTCCCCTCAATGGGCTGGGTCCTCCTGCACCCATTAACAATCAAAACAACCCCCTTAAAGACATGCCCATGGCCAACCTAATCTAGATAATCCCTCATTAAGATGTTCTTTCCAGTGAGTTTAGGTTATTTCAGGTTGATGTTAACACTAACCAGCACAGGTGATTAGACATGTATTAATAGTTATTAAGTAAAGATGACACACAACCCACTGAATGTGAGAAAAGCAGACAGACTGTAAATTGTACACTTAAAAAATTAAATTTAGATTAAGAACACAGCAATCTCTGCCATCTCCCCAATTCACCCCCCGCCCCAGAAAAGGCTCTTCTTTAACAAAAATATTTGTATTTGAAATCATTCAACCATCTACCTTAGAACAACCTGACCAATCATGCCACAGCATATTTGAGATGAGAGATCATCTGCATGGAAAGGTGTCATGACAACAAAGATAACAGTTTCTTTTTATTTGCAAGAAAGACTGTTGGCAGAAAAATTTTAGAACAAAGTTAATGAAGCAGAGGAAGAAAAAATGAGGCATGAAGGGAAAAAGAGAACAGAGAGAGAGAGAGAGAGAGAGAGAGAGAGAGAACGCTATGAGGCAGGAAGAATGCTGGCAGGCGTATTTCGGGCAAGAAATACACCCTGTCAAGAAAGGTGCCTGCATGTCTCAGGGAGATGATCAATTTTAAAAATAATTAAAATCATATGTAATTTAATGTTCTAGCTTTCCATAATGGAACTGAAAACAATTTACATGTTTTCAAAATTAAATATAAAATGTGGAACTTTACCTAAAAATATAACCATTAAAAGAAGATTTCAGTAGTACATGGTGGTGGTGCACTCCTTTAATCCCAGCCCTTGAGAAGCAGAGGCAGGCCGATCCTTGTGAGATTGAGGCCAGCCTGGTCTACATAGTGAGTTCCAGGCTAGCTGGGGCTACAGGGAGACTATGTCTCAAAAAAAACAAAACAAAGAAACAGACAAAGACTTCAGATTACAACCTGTATTGCAGAAATACAGGAAGACAGAAAGGGGCTCCTGTGAACCAATGAGCTTTTTCTCTGAGTAAAATGGAGACAGTGCAACGCTTTAAGCCCAGAGTAAAGTGAACTGTCTTACACTGTAACAGACTCCTTCAATGTTCTGCATGAGGAGCAGAGGCAGAAGGGCAAAGGCAGAAACAGGGAGCACTCTATCAGACTCCAGGACAGCAGGCAGATACATACTCAGGGTGGTGCAGAAACAGGGCGCACCTCCACCAGGCTCCAGGACGGTGGTGGATCCACGCCCAGAGTGGTAATAGGGACAGAGGTAAGTCGTGCTTAGACTGGAGCCTGAAGCATCCCCACCCATGGTCTTAAGCTGTTTCTACAAGGCAGATCTACATGAAAATACTCAACTAGCACCTGCTCCCAAAGACTTTGAAACAGTGCATTACATAGTGCTCTCCCTTCCCAAATAGCCTCCTAAATAAAATGAACTCATTTTTTAAAAAAAAATCTATTGTTTCTTGTATACTGGCATTTCCTTATTATAAAAATAAGTTCAGAAAACTACCATGACTAATAGAGTACTTTTGTGCAGCAAGGTAGGCATGGCCCCTATAGCCTAGTGTTAACATATGTGCAGACCAGCTTCTCGGACTTCGATTTTACAAGTGACTCTGACGTTCTGGCATCTGCATATGCAGCACAGCCTGCTGGTTGCACCTCATCTTGTGGGATTTTTCTGATATGAATCTCACTATCAAACACTACTAAGATATTTTACAACATGAGCATCGACATGACTTGGACATGGATCAGGTGACTCCAAAGCAGGAAATATCAAGTTAAAAATGGGAAGGGAAGTAACATTAAGAGAGGCACAAAATACTGTAATTCAGTTTGTGATAAAGAAGTGCCATTATAAATTCAGCAAACACCCAAATCAAAAAGACACGGAGATGCTTAGGACAGATTGTGGAACAGAAGTTGGGATAAGAATCAAAATGTTCCAAAGGATAAAGGGGCATAAAAGATGATACCATCAAGACACTACTTTACCACAGTTTTGTTTTCCCAGCACAATGGCTGAAGACCACAAAGAGATAACTCCCTGATTAGTTTACTGTCTATTGCTATAACAAAGTGCTTGAGGTTGGGTACTTTATTTAATAAAGAGATGTGTTAGTTCACCATTTTGGGAGGCTGAAAGTCCAAGATTGTGAAGTTCCAATAGTT